GAATGCCTCTCAGCTGGTGGGAAGCGTCAACGAAACTCCTTTCCTGTCTCACTTTCCCCTTCTGAGACTCCAGGCCCTTGAGGGCAGGTGATAGTATCTTCTTCCACATTGATGGGGACATGGACTGTGCATAATGGGAGGTCTGTAGTTTCAACCATTTGATCTGCTCTCATAAATGAGAGCCATCATTTGAATGGACTAGGGAAGACAGGATGTCTGTGGGGCTCTGCTGGATAAGGCTGAAGTCCGACATCTCCGAGTAACCATTTGTTTGTGATCGGTCTATGATGGTGGACTCCCTTTTCTCAGTGGGGTTCTTTAATTTTCTTTTAGATTTATTAATGCACTATGTATACAGTGTTCTGCCTACATGTTTGCCTGTACACCAGAAGAGGGCACCAGACGTCCCTGTAGATGGTTGTGAACCACCATGTGTTGCTGGGAATTGAACTCCGGACCTCGGTGGAGTTCTAAAAGTCTCCAGCCCTGATCTGGATACCCCTGGTCTTGTGAAAGGTGTCAAATAGCCCTCATGGCAGCTTACAGGCAGGATCCTTTCCTGAAGAAAACAGGTCCAGCAAGCATCTAGGAATTCCTAGAAATGTCCCATCCTGCTAAGGAAATCTTATTTTTAGGCAGTGACCTTCAGTTATACTTGGAAATTCTTCCACCCATAGGATAATTAAGTACTGTTTTTCTTCTTATGATAGGACCATGCTACTGCATGGAAATGGAGGCACTGAACCTCTACATACAAATCAAGTATCCCTGACCCCCTGATTCTAGTGCATCAAACACATTCCCTCCCACTGCCCAAGGTTTATAAATCTCTGATTTCAAGTAAAGTGCTGGCTGGTGGTGTGCTGTGTGATACTGGCAGCCTTCCACCGTGGCCGTTTGAGATCCTGCGCTGCGTCTCACCGGGCCTGCCCTGCAGCCGGCTGGGCCTGGGCCTCACCAGGCATGGGCTTTTACCTACACCTCTGCCAGGCTTAGCACAGCAGCTTACCCAAGAGCTGTAACACTTTGGTATCACCATACGCTTTGGAATGCCTAAAAGAGCGTTCTAAAGAGCTAAACTGTAATTCCCCAAGGAAAAACTTTCCACACCTTGGTCTAGCATACAGGTTTTCCCCTAAAATGCCTCTAGCTGCTCCTGAGAAAAATGGAACCCCAGTCCTCCATCCAGAAGCCTGGTTCCAGGCCCCCGCTGAAATCCAGGCTCCCACCAAACAGAACAACAGATGTCATCACTCAGGATATCAAATCACACACACAATAAAGCGTGCAGGAGTTTGTCATGACAGAGAGGAGCACCCAAACCCAGGAGGGCTCTTTACCTTACCTTGAGGTGTCTTGTAGCCATATTTCTGGCGACTGACTGAAATTGAAGGCAGAAGATGGAGAAGACTGAATTTGGGGTGGCTCTCAGAGGACTGCAGCCACAGTGTCTCAGGGGTCAGGCATATGTACACAGAGCACCTGCCTGAGAGCGAGGCTGAGGAGCCACTGGCCCTGTGAGAAAGCGGTCCTCACCTTAACTTGTGAGTTTGGGTCTGTACAAGAGTACGTACTAATAGAAGAGAACAATTTTAAGAAGGAATGCAATGGAAAAGGAAACAGTTTGAGGCCATAGTCATTGAGCACAGCAGTGGTGTCAGAAAAACAGTAAAGCGGACAGCAAAATAAGGTCAACCATAAAATGACTTCATTGCTACTTCATAACTGTAATTTTGCTACTGTTAGGAAGCGTAAGGTAATGTCTTCTATACAGGATATCCGATATGCGAGCCCTGTGAAAGGATCATTTAATCCCCAAAGGGGTTTTGACCCACAGGTTGAGAACCACCGCTCTAGTTAATTAATACATTATTGATTTATTTCTTTTACTCATGGTGGGGAAGGCCTTTATCCATCCTGAGGTGTTAGCAAAGTTTAGAAATTTTGTCCATGACAGGAGAGTGTTTGGAGTAAATAGAATTGTTCCTCTTTCCTTGGAATATGACTGTCCTAACCTGCTAATTTAAGGAAAGGACAGTAGCTTAGTTTTGCCCGTTCGGCTATTACAGAGGAAAAGACAAGCATTGAAGGGGAGGGGAGGCTCATGAATTTCATAGCCTTTTCCCGCAAATGCACGCAACCATTATTGTCATGTCTTATTCTAGGTGACATGAGTCACGAAGTCCCTTAGATTTTTTTTTTTTTAACAACAGGTATTTATTGACTCTGTTAGTCATATTGCCGAGTGCTCCATTTCTTCTACTTCTGTATAAGATGAATTTACACTTGGTTTTGGGAAAGATGTTTTAGAGCCCTGTCTGTAGTCTGAGAACATTACTATAAACTGTTACATAGCATTTTGGCTGTTTCTGCTATAGTCTTTAAAAAAAAAAAATCAGGAATTTCTAAGACTAAGTCTGGAAATAAATTCTTTGGCATTTGGACATTCCTATCAACACTGATTATTACAACTTGTTTAGATGGGAATATTGAGACCCCTAATAGGATAGTGAAGAGTAAACTTTTTCCCACATCAAGGCTCATCTGATGACATTAGTGAGTGGCACTTTGTCAAGGATTTTGAACATCTTTCCGAGTCACCATCTTTGGAGCTGAGGACCCACCCTTGGTGGGGCATTGTTCCTCACGGTCGCCTGTCTCCATTGAGAGAGGCAATGCTCTGTGTCTTAGAACAGAAGTGGGAGGTATCGATGGCTCTTTGATAGCTCAAGGGCATCGTCCATCCAGACTCGGAAGCCGCTGGCAGGCTCCTGAAGCAGTCGGTCACGCCTGCAGTCAGGCAGCAGAGACCAGTGAACGGTGCTGCTCTGCCCATAATGCAGTACAAGACTCCCACCCTGGGAACGATGCTGCCAGTGTTTAGTTTCCACCTCAGCCCAAGAAAGTAATCCTTCAGAGGCACGCCCAGAGGCTTATCGCTTTGGTGACTACAGACCCCACCCCCGTCAAGCTGACAGTAGATACTAACCATCACACAGGGTAAGAGGTAGCTTTCTTAGACCTCTCTTCAGAGGAGGGCCTGTGTAGAGCCAGTGCACACTCGTGTGTTACTGTTGTTGTTTGCACTGATGGCGACTTACCCAGGGCCTCGAATATGCGGCGGAGGCCGTCTTCTACTCGCCGTTTCCCAGCCTCATGAGTGCCACTGCTACTGTTTCCTGAGTAAGCGGATGAGAGGAGGGTGAGTGAGATTCTTAGGAAGTGCCAGCGTTTGCTCCCACTAGTGTGCGTGCCCACGGGTGCTCTACAGAGGGCCGCAGTAGCTGGAATAGAGGGTGGGTGTTCTGACAGCTCACTTTTTACCGGATTCATTCTCTCTCCTATGAAATGAATTCTGTTGCGTTTGTGTTCGCCGAGGATCACTGTGACGAATGACTAGAGGGAGCGTAGTTGCGGTAGGCGTGATTAAAACCGTCGCGTCCCCAGTTCAGCCAGTGCAGCGCCCAGCACTCCGTTGACTCCGAGACCCTCTTGTGTCAGGGACATCACTATAGCTTCTGCATGACCGTGTTTCTTCAGTGAGTGTCTGCTGTGTGACCTTGCTCTACGTGCTTTATTTTGTCGGTATTTTACTACCCTTATACTTGCCTTATTGTCCTATTTAGCCACTAAATTTCGTTTTAAGGTCTTTTGTTCTCAGAACTCATGGATTTTTGTAGTTTGCAGAGGCTACAGTAGGCTGAGACTTTGCTGTTCGCTGTTGCTAGTGATTCATCTCTCTTTGGAAGATCACTGAGCCCCAGGTTTCGTACTCACTTTGTTGTTGACCATGCCAACATGGTGGACGCCCTTCTGGAGTGTCCTGAAGCCCATTTGCTTTTCCTTTATGTACGCCTGCTATTCTATACCTTCCTGCAAGTGTGTTTTGCTTTTTCTAAAATTGCTTCTATAGGTCTGCCTTTTCCAGCTTTGTCGTAGAGTTGGAGTTATGCACCACGTAGCCCTGAGGTCTTCTCCTGCGGGCTTCTTTTACCAAGTAATAATGAACTTGATGTGTCTTTTTGTAGTGTGGCAGGTGTTTATTTAGCACCGAGGAATCCACTGTATGGCTGTCCCTCTCACCTACTGAAGTGTGTCCCACTCGGAGCATGTGTGAATAAATCTTGTGCAGGCTTCTGTGTGGACACAGATTGCAATAATTCTGTAGAGTATACTAAGAAATGTCTGTCTGGTTCATGAGGGCAAGAGAAAGTTTGTGTACGTCTGCAGGAAGCCACAAAGCTGGCTTATGTTGTTTGCATCATTTTCTGTTAGTGACGCTGAGAACTCCCTTGTCCCGCATCCTCATCAGCATGTGGTGTTCTTTAGTACTTTGACTCTGGCCGTTCCAGAGGTGTGTTATGAGTGTGTACTAGTTTGCATTCCTTGATGGAAATTAGAGTGGGGAATATTATATATACATAAAGTATTATGCATCCTTAAAAAGGAAGAAGATTTCGACATGGGTTCTAACCTAGAAGAACCTTCATGTCTGAGAAAAGCTGCTTAGAAAATATTAAGACGCTGTGATTTCCTTTCGTGTGGCATTGAGATTATCCATATTCGTAAAGATGCAGAGTACAATAGAAATTGCCTGGGATGAGGCGCAGTAGACAGAGAGTAAGGGTTTAGTTGTATATGGAGGGTTTGGTTTGCAAGATGGAAACATCTGGCCTGGTACAGCAGGGTTGTGTATACTTGTAATCCCAGCCCCCAGAAGGTGAGGACAGGAATGTGTTACATTCAAGACCAGCTTGAACTACTTAGTAAGACAGCCCTCTCCCAACTAACCTTAGTTCTGGAGGTGAATCATAGACTGGTTTCACAATATTGTATTTATGTTTAAAAGTTGTCTGCCTAGCAGATTTTATATTACATGTTTTTTATTGTAGCTGAAAATGAATGCAAACATTTATTCCTTCCTCATAGTCAAACACTTGGAGATAAAGAGGGTGTTTGTATCGGCACTGGGTGACCCCTGCTTTCCTGGTGTCTTTCAGGCCTGGCATTCCGTTGACCGTGCAGGCGTTCTCAGAAGAGGAGAGGAAGCAGTGGTTGGAAGCTCTGGGTGGAAAAGAAGCTGTAAGAACCTCAGTGGTTGGGGCTTTATTGCAAATCGCAGACAGCTGATCTGGTTCATTTCCACGTTACTTCTGTTTCATAGCGTTGGAGAACAGTTCCTCCCCGGAACTGGTGTTTGAAGTCATCTTGAAACTGTATCAGCACTCCAGTAGTTTATCTTGGGGCAGCTGCAGCACTCTCAGGACTGGGCATCACACATTCTCAGTTCTGGTTTTCCTTGACTTTGTCACTCTGATTGGCTTTGCTTTGAAAAAGTCAGCAAAATTCTCAACTTCTCCTATTTTACCCAACATTTTTCCCCCCAGGGGCAGGGAGAGGTAACAAGTACTTAAATTCTTGCAGTGCATTTTAGTTTCTGGAGTTGGGGCAGTAAGTACTGGCAGCATTAGAAACTCTGTCCACATCGGGCTGACATTAGAGTAAAGGTCTCTACTCTGCAGTGTAGAGCAGCCTTGGAGAGTGAGCCTGTGAATTAATTTGTCTCAAGGAATAGACTAAAGATTGTGACAGAGGCCCAGACACCTCAATTCTTACTGTTGGCATTTGATTCAGCACCATGGTTTTGCTTTTTCCCTCTGTCCTGCTGTCTTCTGGGGCTCAGAATCTGGCAGATCATGTACTGCGTTGGAGATTTAGTAAGGGCAGCTTTAGGAGAAAGCCACAGATGCACTTTCAAGATGCCCTGTAAATTGTTAGGATAGTAAATAATCTGCCAGAGCAGGTACCACCGGGCTCACCTGGAGAGCACCAAGTGTTTATGCAGATTTAGGGGAAAGGATGATTTGAAGATGGAAGAGGAGTTCTATACAGTGAAGAAGGGGGCTTCAGAGTAGAGCTTCTGTTCATGCTTAGGTCTTAGATGGTTCATCTGGGAGTTTTGAGAGAGGCCTGGAGAGGTGCTTCAGTGGTGAAGAGTGCATACTGCTCTTTCAGAGGACCAGAGCTCAATCCCAGCATCCATGTTGGGCCGCTTATCCAGTGGATCGAATGCCTCTGGCTTCCACAGACATCTAAACTCAGACATATAGAACCTACACACAGATACATACTTATAAAAAAGAATTTTGAAGCATTCCTTTAATTCCAGCACTTGGGAGGCAGAGGCACAGTCTCTGAGTTCAAGGCCATCCTGGCTTATATAGAGAGTTCCAGGCCAGCCAGGGCTACAAAGAGACAGAGGTCTTCTCTCCAAAATAAAAGAGTTTTGATAGTAATGGAGACATAGTTATTGCTAATCCTTTAATTTGTTTTAGTAAAGCCGTTTTTATTAACCGTGATGATCTCCCCAGAGCCTTAAGAAGTTCTTTAGAAAGTAACCTTGCATAGCAGAAATACCACTGGGTTGAGTCTTGGGGAAAGTGGGCTTCCAGTTTGACTGAGTTCCGTTTGACTTCCCCTGTAGAGCCGGGCCACTAACAGACTACAGCAAGACTGCTCATCCAAGGCAGTGCTTCTTACAGATTTTACACAGATTCCCTAGGCGGTCAGTGCATTAGGCTGGATGTCTTCATTTTTTCATCACGTGGAGCATCTAGTTTCATCCTTATGCTATATAGGTTTTATTTCCTAAGTTACTTGTTTAGCATGGGCTTAGAGCTGTCCCAAAGGGCTCCTGAATAGCAAAACATTTTTATCCAGAAATTCCAGGTGTGTAGAAACTCTGTGCTGTAAAGCAGGGATGAAGATCTATAGATACACACACACACACACACACACACACACACACACATATATAACTACATAAATATAAATACATGTATGTATATATAGTACATTATATGCTACATTATCTAATATTAAATTCATGAAAATGAAAATTTGTGTGATCTTACTTGATTTATTGAAAGTGTTTTCTCTTTCTTCCTTTTGCTAGCTGTTCCATACTTTTAATAGAGCCATCATCCCGAGACCAGAAGGAGGTAAGTGTCACTTATCCATTCATCGCCATTCCCATGCTGTTGCCAGGCTCGTTCTGTCTGGTCTTCAAGCTCCTGGGGTAACCCTTGTTTGTCGCCTCTGAGCTTTGCTGTGTATGTCCACAGTCATGAGTGATGAGTTTCTAATAGGCAGCTTTGAGCTTTCTGAGCTTCAAGAGCCTTTGAAAGGAGCTGTTCCTTGGTCCTCTGCTTTTAGACTTTCTCATCCAGTCATTTGCCATTCTAGGTAGAAATAAGTGGATTCTCTGGAACATGATGGCTTTTGGTTGACAGTAGCAGGAAGCTGCAATTTGTCCTACACACACTGTAGCAAATTATGGGATTCTTCAGTGAGGTTGAGGGAAGGAGAGAATTCCTAAGGCAAATGTGAGAATTATTATTCTAGAGAGTTTGAAACAGTAACCCTTGGCCTCAGTGAGTAATAATATACAAGAGTGTCCCCAGCCTGATGGTGACCCCTAGTTGCTGGGCAGATTTCCCTGCAGGAACACTTATCATATGAGGCGAAGGCTCTGTGCAGGATGGTGCTTGAGGTCAGGGCCAAGACTCCATCATAAGCTCCTGGCTTTATTTTCTTTCTTGGGTTGACTTTTGACCTCTGGTATATTCCTGTCACACCTTGAAACCCTGTGGCTTTGCATCCTCTGGTATGTGGTCCACACAGGCATATATACTTGAAAAACAGCCTTTGGAAGGAGGTGCTGAGTTGTTCACATACTACAGGACAAGGATCTGCGAAACTATGGTTCTACTTAGCAAGGCCACAGAAAACGCCATGTCACGTAGCACAGTTTCAAGGACAGTTGTGGTCACTTGTGCTAATTCTTGAATCAAACACTAGAGAGCTGCAGCCTGGCCCTGGATACTGATGGCTGCTATGAGGTGGGCGTGGCCATGCAGGCAACTTCTTGGCTCATCTTTCCTGTCTCCTTTATGATGTCTTCGCTATCTTAATTCTCATTCCCTGCCCCCTCATTCCATCCTTCCCCTTTGTCTCTACCCTTTTCACTTGTCATAAAGAAGTTGAAACATTGCTTTTCCTGGAGATGGCTCTGGAAAGGGAAAGAAACAACTTGTCTTTTATATAATGTTATCAATAGTGGTTTCTTGAAGCCACTGTTCAGTTTTTACCATTAAAATTCACTTTTACTGATATGTATTCTGAACACAAAGTTTATATCCATGGACTATAAATCCCCATGACCCAAGCCTGGAGTTGCTGCTTTCTTTTATAAAAGTTTTGAAACAAAAATAAAGATGTACAAATATATGCCAACCTGGTAATAAACAAACATTTATATTAGAAAAAGTATACAATTATATTTTCAAATTGGTCTGTTGTATCACATGAATTATCTGTTTTAAATGCAAATTATGAAAATAATAAAATTATTAAAAAGGCTTAGTGAATAGTGCAAATTATCAAAATTTTAATTTAAGCTTATTGCTCAGATAGCATTTAACAAAAACCTTTAAAAATTTTTTTTTTTTTGTTAAACAAAAGCTCAGAAAAGCCTTTATTTATATTTTAGATTTCTTTAACTGAGCTACTCTTAGAATTTTTGGCAAAATACAGAGCTAATTTTTAGGTAGCTTCCCTTAGTGATTGATATTATTTTCTTTTACTGTTTAAAATAATCTAAACTTACTAACTTAAAATATTTTATATTACAAGTTGGATTATAAATTGATAAATGGACATCTTTTCATCATGGAGGCTCTCCTATAATATGTTCATTTTCCATTTATGTAATTTACACAGGAACTATGTGGCCTTCAGGATTTTTGAAATAGTGAAACAAAATTTCCATTACCTTAATATTTTTTTCTTTTTGGTAAGGGAAAGAAATACAGTGGCTACTTGTCCCTTAACATTTTTAACTATTTGTTTTAGGTGCACAGTTGGATAAGATCGGATTCATGATTCTCAGAAAATGCATCAGTGCGGTTGAAACACGAGGTAACGGTCATGCTTTGCTCAGTAGCTTAACTTGTGGAGGTCTGTAGGTGTGCAGTGCCTGAGTCCATGCAGCGCCCAATGCAGGGTTACATGTTATAGCATGTAATGCCTGAGCCCATACAGCACTCAGTACAAGGTTACATGCTATAGCATAAACTTCTTTCTGGAAGTAGAACTTTCGTTCAGTCAGTTACTCCTTTGCTATGAGAGTGTGGGTCCTTTTATTTTCTTTCCATGTAAATATGGGAGAACTTCACAAATGACGCCATTGTTAAAATGGAATCACATTTGTTCGTTAGCTCTGCTATCTCACAGAATACTACAGGTAGATGGCTGAAGTGGAAACACAGCCCCACAGTTCTGGAGGCTGTAAGGCCAAGGACAAAGGTTGACAGGGTTAATTTTTCTGAGTCCTGTGCCCTGGGCTTGCAGATGGCATCATCCCGCTGTGCCTTCTCTCTGCGTATACTTGTCTCTTCTGTCTCTTTTGTGTATTTAGATTTGCTGATTTTGAAAGAGTCATGTCAGGGTCAGAGCAGCACCCATGTGTATGTGTGTGTCTGTCTGTGTGCATGCCTTGTTAGAATAGCCTCACCATCTCCTTACAGGCCTGGTTTTTGTTCTTTAAAGCTACATTCTAAGGTTTAGAACTTTACAGGGATACAGTCCAGCTCATTCTTTGCAAGGATCAGCAGCTGGAAAACTAATTCTTAACCACATTTTGTTCAAGCATCTTAAAGACGCTTTTCATACTCTTGTGGGATCCCATTAAACATGATCTTTTGGGGCTGGGATTAAGCTTAGTGGCAGAGCTTGGGCTGTGCAAGGCTCTGGGCTTCATCTTTAGCACACCCTTGTATAGGTGCTAAAGATGAGTCACTTCAACTTCTTTCCAACTTGACTTGCTTATCCCTTTCAAACAATCCACTGAGTTTCTGCTGCTTCTGTACTCATGGTGTGGGACTGTGCCGATAGTTTTATGTCAACTTGACACAAACTACAGTCGTCTGAGGGAGCCTCCATTAAGAACACACCTCCATAAGATAGGGCTGCTGGCAAGCCTGTAGGGCATCTTCTTAGTGAGCAGTGGGGGGGAGGGCCCAGCCCATCGTGGGTGGTGCCATCTCTGGGCTGGTGGTCTTGGGTTCTGTAGGAAAGCAGGCTGAGTGAGCCGTGAAGATCAGGCCAGTGAGCAGCTCCCCTCTGTGGCTGCTGCTGCAGCCGCTCCTGCCCGGCTGAGTTCCTGTCCTGACTGACTTTTATGATGAACAGTGATACAGAAGCTTAAATGAAGAAACCCTTTCCAAACCAACTTGCTTGTGCTCATAGTGTTTCACCGAAGCAGTGGTAAACCAAGGAAGACAGAAATCACCAAGCGGAGGTGGGTGGACCCCACACTCTAAGAGCAAACTGGCTCTTCCACAGCTGCTCGGTTAGGGGTGCAGTTTGGAAATTTGCTGATCTTAACTCTCCAAATGTTTTGAGTTTCCAACAGTCTCTGTTGAGTTGTGTCGTTGCTGCTGCTGGAGCCACAGATGTTTGGTTTCCTTCATGTTTCCTGTTCCCCTTCGCACTCACCTGCCACTCTCACCTTGGTCTTCAGGTTCCACTGACCTGATTTTTGTCACTTCAGTTGCTGTGGGGAAATGTTACGTGTTTGCGCGATGGAGTCATACGTGGGTTGGAAGTCTTTGGACTCTAGCTCTTCTTAACACAGAGCTTTGAGGTTTTTCGTGCGCAGTGGATCCTGAACTACTACTACTTTTTTTTTTTTTTTTAAACTCAAATCCCAGAGACAAATGTCAAAATTTTGTTGGAGCCCTCAGCTTACAAAGAAAAGGTAACATTTATTTTGTAATAACATTATTTTAGATAAAAAATTAAATATCAGAACAGTGAGTAATTGAGACACTGGCATATCTCCATCTGGGTAGGACTGTTTAGCAGTTATTCTGGTTTTGCTATCATCTCAGAATCAGTGAAACTACACACACGTATTTGCTCATAAAATTACACCATGCATGAGAGTTGGATCCTTCATCTGCCAGTACCTCCATGAGAAATGTATGGCTTATCCAGGTTGAAGGATTTCATCAAACACTTGTTGCCAGCTTGTGCTGCGCCTTTATCACACTGAACCTTTAACAATACTGATCTGGCCTCTGGTATGTAGCCTGACGTAGTTGCTCCTGGCATGGACTGGGAACTGGCTGTTTAAAAGCTCCCAGTATGATCACAATGCCTGGTAATAAAGTTTGGGAAGCCCGTCCTAGTAAAAGTATTGCCTGTGTTGGAGACGTAGGGCGCACAGTTGTTACCTTCATGTTGCTCATGTACTGCTACTTGGGGATCTTTTTTCTTCTTAAAAAAACAATCTATCTTAAATCTAGATAAAACAGAAAAGTTCTGAAAGAAATAGCACAGTGTTCTTTTTCCTCAGTAAGTGATAACCCATCATGGTTTAGGCCTAGTTCCACTCGGAAGTCCATCTGTTAATGAGGATTTATTGAGCAATCCCCAAGTGTACGGTGCCTTGCCCCAGGCCTTTGGAATAGCTAGTAAAGGTTGGTTCCATTTAACACTTAATACAGTAATAGTAGACACAGCAGAAAGGTTTGTAAGCAATTGAATTATTCCAGGTGATAAAATAAAAATGTGGCAAGTTCACACAGGTGAGGAGAATCTTGGTGCAGGGTGCTGGGTCAGGAGAGACTCACTGTGAGACTGCGATTTAGCAACAGGCTTTCCTGGATTTAGAGAATGAGAGTCCTGTCTTGGCATTCAGAGAATTGTCAGCTATGATGTAGAGACAGAGTGTGGCTGATTGGAAAGGAAACAAAGGGACAGTACGAGCATGTACTTAAAGCGTGCGCTCTTAATGGTGAAGATGCTGGCTCAGTGCTAGAGGGTGCTGGAGGGCATGCAGGCTCAGAAAGGTTGGTATGAAAACGAGGCTGCATGTGGGATGTGCAGCCACTGCAGAGGTGGACAGCACCCCCAAAGTGAGGTGGCCGAGTTGGGACAGTAAACATGGCAGGGGTACAGAGGGTACCAGTGAGTGACGTCACTAGAGTCGTGCTGTTCCATGAGTGCTTGGATAATCACTGAGATTTCTGCAAGGACTACAGACACTTGTGACAGACCTGATGACGTATTCTAGGATCCCTGGTGCTTTCTGTGACTGTGGATTCCTGAGCTCAACCCTAATGTGTCAGGGACCATTGTTGGTCTCCTCTTTAGGTGCTGCAACCTGATGAGTGGAGCAGACACGTAATTAGAGGGGGGTTCTGTTTGGCTTTCAGGGGACAGGAGCAACCATGGGAGGCTTCTGTGTAAGTGACACGGAAAACCTGCTCACTGGGTCCGTGGAGCTTTGGGGGTTGTAGGAGAGTGAACACGGACAGAGGAAGGAAAGCCTCCATTATAAAACTTCTACAAGTGACCAAATTTTAGTGTGTCAAGCTGAGAGAATCAAGATGTCAGATGCTATGCAGATGAGCCCCAGGGGGAATTCGGGAACATTTGTGTGGCTCTTGTTCATTCATACCTCATGCTTCACCTTAGTCCCTCCTGCCTGCAGTCTCTTCCGTGACATCTACTCGCTGTAGGCCCTAGGGTGGCTCATGCTTTATGAAAAGGGGTGCCAGTACGCTAGGCCACTTTATCCATTCCTCACCTTGCTGGAAGCAAGCTTTCCTGTGCAGCTGTGGTGTGGCCCTCCGGATGGCATGCTGCTCAGCCTGTGTTCCTTGAGAAAGCCCATGGCTTAGCGTTTGCCTTTGCTTTCTCTGGAGCATTCTGATTCATGGCTGCTTGTAGGGTCCCGCTCCTAAAAAACAAATAAATATAAAATAAAAAGAAGTTATATTTTTAGCTCTCGGTTCTGAAGGTTCTAGTCCGTGATCTGGTTGCTTTGGACCTAGGGTGAGGCAGAACCACTCACCATATGGCCTGAGAACAGAGAAAACGGGGCTGGAGGTCCACAGTGCTCCTCCAGGCCACACTGGAAATGACCTAAGGACCTCTGCTAAGCTTTGCTTCCTGGACTCCAATACCCCAATATGGAAGTCATTCAAGGTTCAAGCTGTAGTGCTCTGCTCTGGCCTCCCAATAGCTCTTGCATTCAGTACCATCTCCAAGAGTCCTTCAGTCTTCGCTCTCGCCGCGATGCTCAGAATCCAAGTTTATGGTTTCTTCTGCCAAGAGTTAAACCTCTACATGGGCCCCTGTGGCCAGGAGGCAAGAGTAGCCCCAACTGTTCATTTGAATTCTGCAGGGGAGGAGAAGTTGTCTAGGTTCCCACCGACAGGGCCTATCAGAAGTAAGGGCTTTGTACCCAGGAGTGAGAGGAGAGGTGTTGGTGTGCGAATGCTTATGATGCGCCTGCAATCTGAGTCATCAGTTAAGACTGGAAAGGCAGGAGAGGAGCATGGTGGAACAGGTGCTTGGGATTTACCTTGCCTCCGAGAGACAGGCAGCTTGCCATCTCAGGCCCTATGAGGTACAAAATAGTGTTTTGGAAGGCCCCTTAGCTTCCATAAGGAATGTGACGGGTCCATCACATACCTGGTTTGTGGAGAAGAGATGAACTAGCTTTAGGAGACACCCTGTGCTCTCTGCCATTTTCTTCATCTTTCTCTGCGTTTTTTTGTTCTTTTTTTTTAGATTTATTTACTTACTTACTTACTTACTTATTTATTTATTTATCTATTTATTTATTTATTTATGTATTCATCTATTTATTTTTTATTTATTTATTTATTTATTTATTTATTTATTTATTTATTTATTTATTTATTTATTTATTTATTATGTATACAGTATTCTGCCTGCTATCTGCAGGCAAGAAGAGGGCACCAGCTCTTATTATAGATGATTGTGAGCCACCATGTGGTTGCTGGGAATTGAACTCAGGACCTCTAGAAGAGCAGACAGTGCTCTTAAACTCTGAGCCATCTCTCCAGACCCTCTGTGTTGTTTTTATCCTGAGACTCTGTTGC